CCATCCGTTCATCTCTGCCAGTAACTAAAACTGTGCTTTATATGCTTCCCACGGTGCCTTCCTATCGAATTCCTGTGGCTTCCTTCGCACTGGATCACTCCTATTACTGACATTCATATCTGGGATGTGACTTCTAACAGGACTGAATATGTCTGCATTAGGGTTTAGCTGTGGGCTCTGTAAGGGGCTTGCCATGGTTTGGGGCTGATTAAATTGATGGTCAATGTATCCTCCTTGTGTAAAAGACAATAGATTGTCCTTTAACGTATCTAATTGCTTTTAAATTTACTAATGTTTTCCATTTGTACTTCTTGTTTCCTTTCTTGTTCCAGTTGCCACTGCTGTAGTCTCTCTTCTTGTTTCTTTTCTTTCTCCTCCAACAAGTGCTGTAATTTCTCTTCTTGTTTATTTTGCTGTTCGAGCTGCCATTGTTGTAGGTTTTCTTGTAACTGCTGTTGTCTTTCTTCTTGTTTCTTTTCTTTTTCCTCCAACCACTGCTGTAATTTCTCTTCTCGTTCTTCTTGTTTATTTTGTTGTTCGAGCTGCCATTGTTGCAGGTTTTCTTGCAACTGCTGTTGTCTCTCTTCTTGTTTTTTTTGCTGTTCTTGTATTGCTGCCATCAAATCTGCTAAACTGTAGTTTGATTTGCCGCTTCTCGTTTCCGTTCTCTTTTTCTTCTTTTTTTTTTATCCCACTTTCTGACACCAATTTGTTACTTCTCCATTTGTTAATTAATTTTACGTAACTTCTTTCCGAATATAACTTTACGATACACTTAATTTCAACAATCACGCTAAAACAAACGCTATAACAACGAACGTGCTCAGCTTCAATAATACTCTCTGTCTGCAGATCAATTACTCACTGTCTACATACACATTATCAACATTCCGTCACGTTGTCACTCTCTTTTATATACCAGACTACCCTATATCTAATAAATGCTAGAGCATTCGCCAAGGTACAGGATAGTTCTAGAAACGTGGCGTGACACTAGTCATGTGACCTCGCTGACGCAACATTATTAAAAAGATACTAGCAATGATAAATGTAGCACTGTTTTAAGACAATGACAAATAGGGTTGTGACAGAGTAAAGAGCATGCTCAGACTTCTAGAAATTGAGAGAGATCACTATTGCATAGCCATTACTGAAAAAATAAAACTATATGAATATAGCATAATCATTTCAGGGAAGTAACAATTAGTGATTATTAAAAGATATTTCAAGACCAAATAATCTTCAAAGGTGTGAATAATGCTCAGAAATTTGTGAAAAACCACATGAAAGATGTCTACACTAGCCTTACTTAGTTTTTAACTGATAAACTAGAGGAAAATAAGATAGTCAACAGCACCTGATGCTAATTTTTTGGACACTCTCATAGAGCAAAATACAAAGTTTATTTTCTCATAACATAAATAATATTACACAGTGATTAGTGAACACATGTAGAATTGGCTTGCTTATTGTAAAAGAGTGAAATATTTAGGTTAAAGTGAATGTCAAGTAAAAAGGTTTATTTGATGTATTACTGTAGATGGGAGGTAAAAATGCAGCTGTCGTCTTTGAAGATGCAGATTTAGAACAATGTGTTCCTACTCTTATCAGGTATAGTGCTGTTTAATTATGAAATATCCATTTCCAAAAATATTTTGACATAAATATTTCAGAATATCTGTTACCTGCACATAGTTTTAGTCTGTAAAATTAAGTATGTCTACTTTGCCCCTCATCAAGTTTTTATTAAACTTTAATGAAGAAAAGCTTAAGTTAGGTGAAGTTTTTAAATGCTTTTTTACAATATAGGTTTGTTATTTATAGTGTAGCAAACTTATACCTTAGAATATTAGCCAGGTGGTTAGGGTGCTCAACTTGCAATCTGAGGGTTGTGGGTTTGAATCCCCATTCTACCAAAACCATTCTAGAATGTTATAATGTGATAATCAATCCCACTATTCATTGGTAAAAGAGTAGCCCAAGAGTTGGCGGTAGGTGGTGATGACTAGCTGCTTTCCCTCTAGTCTTACACTGCTAAATTAGGGACAGCTAGCACAGATAGCCCTCGTGTAGCTTTGTGCAAAATTCAAAACAAACCAAACCTTAAAATGATAATTGATTTTTAAAATTTTAGAAAATGCTATAATTAGTTAATTATTTTTCTACAACATTCTCTCAAAACGTTGATAAATAATTCTATAAAATAAATAGGAATTTATGGTAATAAACAGACTGTTGTTAATATACTTGTATGCTGGTTGTTATTTATCTCATTCTATTGCATTATTTCATTGTTTATTTTACTCAGTCAAAAGTAACAACTGTAGGTCATAACCATATTTTTAATTCATTGTCAGAAGCATTATTAAAGAAAAGAAGGTACCTAAGTTATCAATTGATTGCAAATTAATTTTTATAAGTTTTAAATCCTTTGAGTGGTTAATATTGAACATACTAATATTTTCATGGCCCATCTTTATTTGAGCTGTCTGTTAAGTAGTCTTTCAAGTTAAACATTTGTAAAATCTACATTCTTACTTATATATTATACTGATGTATACCTGTATATATAAGGTTTAGTTGTCTTTTTGTCTGGTATCACAAACTGTTCTGAACTAGCTTAACCCTTTTGCAATGGGTAGGTCAAAGTGTGCATGTCACAACCTTTTATAGAGTTACATTGAAAATTTAGTTAAACTACTTTATTATCAATGTATACAAATAAACTTGACATCATAGCATTCTTAATAAATCAAATTTTAATATTATATAAGCTTTAAGTTCTTAATTTTGTAAGGAAATAGTTTTAAAAAATCCTTAATCTCCCCTAGTATGAGAATTGTGATATTTGCTCTTTAGGTCTTACCAGAAAAATTATGATACTTATAGGACATTGTTCACTTTTTGCATGTTATTATTCTGTGTTCTTAGATGCAGTATTTAATTAAATAAAAAATTCTTTAGTGCAGTAGTATCATTAGTATAAAAAAGTAGGCCTAAATTTCATCGACAGTTTACAGCTAAGAAAAAGAAGACCCAAGTAGGTACTATATTTCTTGTTTTTCATGTGTATTTTTTATTTATTATTATAAAAGTAGCTAAGATGTACAAATTAGAAACTTATTAGGTTAGCTCAGGTAAGATAATGAAATAATAATAATTCTTCACGAGATATGCTTGTGAGCAGTGTAGGCATTACGTAATTCGATACGACAACATGAGTTGCATTTCTGATATGATATCTTACCTCCACTCATATAAAAGCTTTTACTCGATTATTACTGCCACCTACCCTTTTGTGTTTAATGTGGTTCAGCTGCACTGTAGCATCTAAATAATCATGCAACAATCCTCCACCAATTGGAGCATGACACTTTCTTCAGACAGCTAGCTGTCCCTGAATTATAGAGTCTAACCTGACTTCTTGATTTGCCATTCAAGTATTTAGACTTATTGCTTACCAAGCTTTGAGTTTTCAAATTTTGCTTATATTTGTTCATAGATTTGTAATTAGTTTTTATATTTAACTTTCAACTTTGCTAGTCTAAAAGCAGTTATGTACGAGTTGAATTTATTTCATAATTTTTTTTTGTTTACCAAGACTTTTCATCTTGGTTTTTTTATTCATTTCAAATTCAGTTTCATATTAATCTTCTGAACCTTTTTAATGGTTCATTGGGCTCTGAATCATTTCCTTCCTCTTCTCTAGGACAAATTGGTTAGGATCCTATTGGACAATTCAACTGTGGTCTCTTACCTCACCCAGCAGGGGAGCACTCATTCTCTGTCCCTATGCTTTCAAACATTGGACCTTTTGTATTGGGCACACAGTCAGTGGATTCATCTACAAGCTTTACATATTTCGGGTGCACTTAATCTGGTCACAGAACAGTTATTTCGACCTGACAGGATTCTCTCCACGGAGTGATCCCTTGATCCACAGGTCTTCCAGTGGTTTTGCTCTCAGTTGGGTATGCCCCAGTTAGATGCTTTTGCCACCATCAGAATACAAAACACCCTCTTTTTTTGGTATCCTGTTTTGCATCCTTCAGGTTTAGCAGTGGATGTGTTCAGTCAAGAGTGGAAGAACCTGTATATTTATGTTTATCCTCCCATCTATCTTATTCCCTGTGTTCTATGTGTTGAGTACATCTGATGGCACCATTTGGGCTGACATAGTCTTGTTACTTCAGCCCCTCCAGTTAACACCACCTTTATCTCTTCCTCTTTCCCCATTTCTCCTTCATCAACCTCATGCATGTGGTGTCATTCATCTTTATCTGCTCTCTGGCTTTACGTGTGGCTTTTGTCCAGTTCCTTGCCAGAAGGACCAGTCTTTCCACTTGGGTAGCACCCCTTATTTCCTGTTATGTCCATCTTTCCTCTTTATCTGTGTATCAGTGTAAATGGCATATTTTTAGCCATTGGTTGTTATGTTGTGGCCTCATTCCTTCCTACCCTACTTTTCTTCATATTTCAGGCTTCTTCTCTTGGTTGTTTGACAAAGGTTTCTCTGTGTTGACCATTTCAGACTATTGGGCTACCTTATTCTGTACCTTCCGTTTTTCTGAGTTCTACCATATTTTCTCGTCTGCAGTCATACCCCTTTTATTCCGATCCTTCCAGATCTTTTGTCCTCCTTAACCCTTTCCCCTGCTGGATTGCAATCTTAATTTTGTCATACATTTCCTATCCCTCCCCCCTTTTGAACCTTTGTTGTCTTGTTCCCTGCACCACCTTACCCTAAAAACCTATGATCCACCAATAATGGCAGTTCACCCCTCTGGTTGGGACCCTTCATCCTACCACTGCCTGGAAGTCACTTCCAAGATGGTCTGGTTTTGGATTACAGCTTGAATAACCAAAATGAATCCTCACAACTAGAGGACCTCCTTCCTACTGTGTGATGGATGAACCATTTCTGGTACTGCTGGTTTTGGATGGAGTTGATCTCCCACATTTGTTGAGGACTTCCAGTTTTCTGGGGACTGGACAATTCAAGCTGGGTCCCAATGGTTCTGAGGATTGAGTTGTTCTCCTGATAGCAGTTTTACATTAGAGTCTCATCTGGAATTGTTTAAGAACCTCATTCTTCTAGGGACTGGAAGTGTCATTCCCAGTCCCAAAAGATTGAGGGTGGATTTGATCTCTCTATTGGTTGAGTATCTCTTCCTTCTGGGGACTAGACATATCATTCCTGGTCTCAATGGCTTGAGGAGTAAGTTGCATGGGATGAGGACCTCATTCCATGGACTGGATATATCAATCCTTGTTCCAATAGAGTTGATTTCCTGATTATGGCCCAATGTGACCTAACTACTCTATTTTATGGGTGAATCTGGCATTAACTGGTTGAGGATCTCCTTCTTCTGGGGACTAGATGTATCTTTCCTCATCTCAAAAATTTGAGGATGGAGTTGATCTCCTATTTAGTTGAGGACCTCCTCCTTCCAAGGACTGGAGGTATCTTTCTCAGTCTCAACAGTTTGAGGATGGCATTGTTTACATGACTATGTCCAGACTTGTCCTGTCCACACTATCTCTGGGACAGGTACACTTTCTGCTATTTATCGTATGTGCCTCTTTACCACCCATTTATAGACACTGTTTTTCATCAAGGGCGAAGAGTATACCTGGTTCAGATGTGGTGCAGTCTTCCATGAATGTGTTTCCTCTTCACAAAAATGTCACACTCCATGGGCTCTCTTTAGATGCATTCTGAATGAGGCTAATCTAAGTAATGTTACACCAGTCCCTCCACCAACTTTTATGTGAGGGGAGGTAAGGTATCATATCAGAAGTTATAATTTTCCTACACAGAAAATGTATTTACAGTAGATACTTACATTCCTCTCAAACATCTCATCCTTCCTCCCCACTTCTGATGTTTTTGTTCTTTGCACCTAATCTCAAAGTGAGGTTCCAATTTATAGTGATTCTAGAAAGAGAAAAGGGGTAATTTTCGAATTTTTAAAAGAGTTAAGATGGAAAAAATAACAGATCAAATAAAAAGTTTTTCTGAAAAAAAAATGTGATATTTATTTAGGTCTTAGAGATTACACAAATGAAATTTGAAAATTTTCAGATGAAGAAAAAGTATTTTTAACCTTGACATGAAAATTACTACTTTGTACTCAGAGGAGACACATTTTTGGTAAAAATACTTAATCCAAAATTCATATTTTTTGCCTACAAAAGAATTGTAATGTTTACTGAAAGCATATCAAATTTTGTGAATGTACATTAAGTACTTTCAGAGTTACAACCTTCATGGTTACAAGTTAAATGATGATTACAAGGTCATGTAAAATACATGAGCCCCATGATGAAATGTAGTAGAGGGACTCAGGTGGACACATTAAAGATTGCATGTAAATAGATAAACTATCAGACAAACAATCAAGTTTGGCAGCCATTTTAATTTTATCTCTTAATGGCAGAAATGAGGGCTCAATTTAGTTAGGAGGAGGTTTGTATTAAAACATATGAAACTGATACCAAAGAAAACAACATCTAATGCGACAAAAAAATATGGGTACTTTTGCATTATGTGAATAGTATGTTTGCTACAGCTCAAAATAGTAGAAGAGGGCATTGCACACCACCAATTTGTAACATTTTGCTTTGAGTTGTTTTTTTTTGTGATAGTCTGCATATATGTCAGTTTTATTTGAAATGAAAAGCTTGCTTGTCTTCAGAAGTTGTCATAATTGTAATAGTTGAATTAATCTAGAG